GGATCGCTCGGGTGGAAAGGATCTGGCACCAGACCATTGCCAAGGGAGAATTTGCGTTTCTTGGCATAGTAAAATAAGGTGAACAAAAAATCAGGTAGTATTGACTTGAACACAGGAAAACACATCCACATTATACTGATGATTCTTATGTTTCGGTGTATTTGCAGCAAACCAAATCTTGATATGGTAAGGCAGTGTTGGCTGCGCGAGTCCGTGGTGAATTTGCGGGACAAAAGCACTTTCAGGCTCGGCCGCATTTTTTTCAGTGCCCGCATTACAGTAACTCAGTAGTTCAATGTTCTCTGGGACCCAGAATCTCAGAAGCAGCCCGCAGGTCATTTTCGATGGTTCAACCACAGCTGGAAAACCAACTGAATATTTTCAGGCCGGGGTTGAATCTTGTCAGATCCTTTCAGTACGTAATCTATTTGAAGAATCACTGGTGTGCAGGTTTTTGCCCCATGGGTTGGCTTGGGGACATTTGCTCCTCCGCTGGTGCCTTCCTGAGAAAAGTATGGATTCAACGCAGATTCATGGGTTTTCTGAGATTAAAAAGTCCATAGATTTTTTCAATGCAATGAAGATCTACCATTCCGAGAAAAACCCATGAAATAATTCAGAGCGTTTGCTGAGTCAAAGACTAAGATTCATTCAATGCTCCGCAGCTCAGGACAGTTCCAGAGATTTTAGAAACTTAAGGAACCCTCCAGGACCAAGAAGAAATATATTCCCCACAATTATTAATTAATTCCCCATTGATTTCCCATCATTAATTATTACATTAAAAATTCAGTAAATCCTGGAATCCACGTAAGTAAAGTTCATCCAGAGCAATAGAGCATCACAGAGCAATGTCGCTGTCTGCCCAGCCATCATATCGGGGCACCAGCACCGGCAACTCGCACTCGGCGATGAAGTCGTCCTGGATTTCGGTCAGCGAGGTTTTTGGTAATTCTGGGGATGCAGAGGGCCCAATCCCGACGCCCAGTTCCTCATTCTCTACAGACCCTTTCGAGGCATGTCATGTTGTTCTGGAAACCAATTTTTTGGGTTTTCAATTTATATTCTACTGGTCATGAAACGCCCCTGCAAGGTGGCACACGGTGAATCTAGATTGGAGACTGCAGCTAAGTCATTGCAAATGGCTTGGCATGTTATTCTGAACAAGCTCACCGAGGCAGAATTGAGGAAGTCTTTGCTAGGTACTGGTCGGTGCTACATGTCAACCAGCTGCACTGGGGTCTACACAGCAGAAGTAGGGCTGGCATTGATAGAGAAAATGGTGAATGAGTCAGGGGTTTTGGGCGCAGTTCGACTAGAAGCTGCCAGCTGTCATGATACTAGCCTCGCACATGGTCGAGTCAATAATTTTATATTTTATAAAAATTAAATATAATAATATGTCGTTATTTTATACCCCCAAACAATGCTAAACCCCATCTCACCATAACCAAAAAAAATCACAGCCCTTTTCCTTTTCCAGCATTCAATTTCCGATCTCTCTAAGGAAATGGACAACCACTGCAGACAATGCATCCAGGACAACCATGCGTGGGTGAATAGCTGGAGTCCGAGGCAAACTTGTATTCCACACATTTTTGGGAACATCCTTCACCAAGTGGATTTGCCCGCCATTGCCACCCAGAGCTCAGCAAAGAATAGGCCAAGGCACCCCTTCAAAGTTCGGAAAGACGCAATTCTGAAGAAACCTTTGAAGCAACGGCAGTGGTGTTTTTCCCATGGCCGGAACTGCAAAATTACGGATGATGTGGATTTCGATTTCAGTGGTCTACCCTGTCAAGACAATTCTCGTGCAAATTTTACCAGACTGTTTTTCGAAGGTCCCAATTCCAACACGTACATTGTGTGGGCAAAAAAACACCTTCAGTTACGTACACCGGTCCTTCTTCTTGAAAACACTCCCGTTACTTTGATTTTGCATCAGACACAGTTTTTGTTTTCTTGAAGTAAGGAGTTTTAAATGTACATCCCAACATTACCTGAAACCAGCTCAAATCAAATCAGCCTGCATCTAAGGATCTTCCTCTCGAAGAAGTGGCCCTGCTCCTCAGTGACTACCAGTTGTATCCACTTTTCGTGGATCCGGCTGATTGTGGCCATGCGGGCATCCGTCGGACTCGAGTGTACGTTTATTGTGTTCACAATGAAACGGGCGTTTACCTCTATGACCTCTATGAAATGTATGCCTCCATCACCAAACTGATCAAACGGACTGTAGCTACGGAAGTCCAGGACTAGTGTGAATGGGCATCCATCCCTTGGCACCACCCCGAAATTTCAAATAATAGGAATTTTATATTTTGGGAATCGGAGAGTATCATTTTTGGGGAAAAAACAACATCTTTTTCGGGGGTCAAGACTCCCCAGGACTACTTCGTCGCTACAAAGCTGGCACAGCAGGTCCATGCAAGGAGCATTTGTGAGATGAGGGGCTTCGAGTTTGACCCAGAATCTTTAAACTATTTGTTGTAATATGTTGTTTTTCCCTGCTTCACATATTATGCATGGGATCCAGCAAGGGTGGGGGGCAAATGGCAACCCTCAAATTCACTGTTCCCAGAAATTTACTAAAAACAGAAACATATTCAGTGGAGCATTGGGAAACTATAAATGGGATCAAGTGCAAATCATCAAAAAAAAATCGAGGAAACTTATTAAATTTTTGCCATTTGAGTGCAGATCAGTTGTTGTGGCCGGGTGAATTTTGAAAAACAATGGAAACATAATGAAGAACACTGCACAAATGAAAAACTGATAATCAAAATAAGTTAAAAACATTGAAAAACAATGAAAATATAATAATGAAAAATAATGAGCACCATTTAAAAACAATAAAACATAATGAAAAACATTGAAAAACAATGAACAATAATCAAATACATTGAAAAAACAAATAAATAACAAATGAAACAATGAAAAAACAATGAAAACATGGAAAAAAAACAAACAATGAACAACTGCAAAAAAAAACATGAGAAAAATAAAATAAACAATGAAAAAAAATGAAAAAAACAATGAAAAAATGAAAAATAAAATAAATCATGAAAAAATGCAAAAAACAACAATGAAAAAATAAAGAATAAAATAAATCATGAAAAAACAATGAAAACATTAAACAAAAAAACAATGACAAAACTGAAAAACAATTGAAAAAAACATGGAACAATAATAAAAAAATAAAAAATAAAAATTAAAAAAAAAACATGAAAAATGAAAAAAATAAAAACTGAAAAAAACTTGAAAAAATAAAAAAAAAACTGAAAAAAATGAAAAAATAAATATAATATTAAAGCTCGAGGACTTCGACCCAGGCTCGAGGACTTCGACCCGGACGAGTCGTTTTTCCGCTAACGCGCGCGTGTGCGCGCGCGTTAGCGGAAAGGCTGGCCCGAGGACTTCGACCCCGACACCGGGGTAGTGCTACGGGGTAATACAACGGTGAAACACAACGGGGAAACAAAAGGGGAAACAAAATGGAAAAATGAAAAAATCAAAAAAATAGAAAAGTCACATCTATAAATTTTAAATCTATTTAATAGCTTTAAAACAATGTATGTATATAAATCGAATTATTTTTTTTTCGAAATATTTTTTTTGTATTTTTTTCATTTAGTTTTACTACAAATCATATTTTAAAGCATTGCAATACTCATTTGTAGTAAAACTAAATGAAAAAATACCAAAAAAAAATCTTTTTTTTTTTATTTTTTAATTCGATTTATATACATACATTGTTTTAAAGCTATTAAATAGATTTAAAATTTATAGATGTGACTTTTCTATTTTTTTTGATTTTTTCATTTTTCCATTTTGTTTCCCCTTTTGTTTCCCCGTTGTGTTTCACCGTTGTATTACCCCGTAGCACTACCCCGGTGTCGGGGTCGAAGTCCTCGAGCCAGCCGCTGTCGGGTCGAAGTCCTCGAGCCTGGGTCGAAGTCCTCGAGCCTGGGTCGAAGTCCTCGAGCTTTAATATTATATTTATTTTTTCATTTTTTTCATTTTTTTCAGTTTTTTTTTTTTATTTTTTCAAGTTTTTTTCAGTTTTTATTTTTTCATTTTTCATGTGTTTTTTAATTTTTATTTTTTATTTTTTTATTATTGTTTCCATGTTTTTTTCAATTGTTTTTCAGTTTTGTCATTGTTTTTTGGTTTAATGTTTTCATTGTTTTTTCATGATTTATTGTATTCTTTATTTTTTCATTGTTGTTTTTTTTGCATTTTTTCATGATTTTCTTTTATTTTTCATTTTTTCATTGTTTTTTCCATGTTTCCTTCTTTTTCATATGTTTTTTCATATGTTTTTCATATGTTTTTCATGTTTTTTTCATATGTGTTTCATGTTTTTCATGTTTTCATTTTTTTTTCATATTATGTTCATTGTTTTTTTCATTTTTTCATGTTTTCATTTTTGTTGCATTGTTTTTCATATTATTGTCATTTGTTCATTCTTTTTGATCATTGGTTCATTGTTTTTTTCACTTTTCCATTATGTTGTTTTTCAATTTTTCATCTTTAATTTTTTGTTCAGTGTTTTTTGTGTTATTATGTTTCAATGTTTTTCACTTTTATTTATTCTCCATTCGACGTTTCGGGCAGCCTTTTTCCCCCCCCCTTGGCCGACCCTATGTACTATGAAATATTGGGTGTTGACGGGGACATACGGGGATACATCTGTGGGATTGTTGTGGCCCCGAAATAATTCATCCAATTCATGGTGTTTTTTTTTAGGACATGACAAGCAGACCTAGGATCGCCCGGTGGACTCAATGTTCAATTCTCGTGAGCGCAGTGTCATTGCTGAGTTGAATGAGGCATATTTGGAAAGGACTGGTGGGAACCCCCCCGAAAAAAACAAAAATTTTGTCTATTTTTTGGGAGATAATCCCAAGTGGGCAAAAACGTGGTCAGCGGCAAGCCACAAACTGCCGACCTTCCGCCGGAACGGTGGTTTCTACTATAGCCCAGCGACTGCCAGAGTCATGCTGCCCACAGACAAGTTGGCCGCACTCGGCTGGCCGACCAATTTGCAGGCCGCACGGGGTATGGGGACCAAGAAGTTTCCTGCCATGGATCGCCGAAGAGGCGATCTAGTGGCAGGCAACGCGATGCATCTGGGGAACTCAACAATTCTCCTACTCTTGGGCCTTGTTTGCTTTGGACATCAAGATGATGCCCTGCAGTTCGATGACTTGTAAGTTGAAACTCCAGGATCCGTCAATTCAATGCTGCTGTAACATCAAAAAAATGAGAGATCGAGCAGAAATTTATCACCACCAACAAAATGATGTCACTTTAGCACACCCTGTTCATTTTGTAGTGTCAGGTCTACTTTCCAGTGAGGTAGAGATCAACAAAATGAAATCCACATGAAATCACTCATGACAATGCATGGTTCCTGGGCAAAGGATTTGGAAAATTCTGACCTGACTTGATTCCAGCAGCTGTTTGATTCAATCCCAAATAAATCAATCTGAATCCCTCAGCCCCGCTTGAAGACCAGTGAGACTCACCCATGGGAAGGCCTCCTAATGTCCCGCCCGCACCACCGAAGAAAGGAGTGGTTGTTAAGGCAAAGCCTGCCCCCTCAAAGCCGCCTGCAAAGAAGGACAAAGTGCCGGCACCCAAGGCCTCAGCCACACGGCCACCCCGGGGATCAATTCCAGCATCCAAAAGTTCTAAGAGGGCCCGAGAAGTAGAGGAGACTGAGGAGGATGAGGGAGTGTAACTCAATTGAAATTCACAAGCATTTGTTTCTTGATTTTTGCTAAAAAACAAGTTTGTGGATTTCTGAAAATCACCGAACTGATTCCAGGGTTTAATGGGATTTACTTAATTCATTTATTTAATTCATGGGTTTAATTAATGGGATTTATTTATTTAATTCATAGGGTGTCATGGTAACTTAATGGGAATGAATTGGATTTCATTAAATTGAATTGGGGATTCAATAAGTTTTTTTTTACTGTGAATTTGATTGGATCTAAGGGGGACTTGATGAGATTTTACCAAGTAACTCCAAAAACACCAAGTCAAGTGGGAATTCTAAAGTTTACCACATGAGTGCTACTCAATAAATCCATGAATGAACAAATGAGGTGGCCGGGACAACTCGTCCCTCGGGAAGACTCCGGATCAGAAGACTCGGAAGAGCCACAGATTCTCGAGTATGAGGATGATGATGAGGGATCCCCGCGGCAGGACTCTTCCCCTTCACCCGTCATCGTCCGCGGCAAGAAGAAGGGCAGGACTGGGGATAAGGATGACAAGCCCGTGTCAATGCGTAGTGTCAGGAGACATGATTTAGAGAAATATTCGGGCAGCTATTCGCAGGTGGGCCAGTTCCCAGTTTTTCGGTGCAATTTGGGAGAAAGAATAATTTTGATATATTTTGATTATGCTTAGTTTATTACTTCCCTTACTAGCTGATTCCCTCCCATCAATACTTTTGTCAAATGTCCGTGATCGGCCCTGTGCTAAAATTGAGGTGCAGCACCTCTATTCCTGGCTCAAAGGAATCCACCCCTCCAAGTTCACGGAATTCTTGTACAACCGCATCACCAAGAACCAGACTTTGGCCTACATCTATTTGATGACTGGGGTGACAAAGGGTGAGAAGATTCCATCGCAACTGATTTTAATTTTTGTTTCGGAAATAAAAAATGAGGAATACTACAACAGTAACTGACAACAGGTGGACAGCCCAATGTCATCAAGGCAAAAATAAATAAATCTTTGTTTCAATCATGGGTTGCATGTGCAGAGGTAGGATCCCCAGGTATAGTTTACCAATGGCACCAACTAACCACAACATCTCACTCGCATTTATTAATATTGTAATTATTATCCTGATTCTATACTGATTCTACCGTGTTGGCCAGCCCCATTAATATTTATTCCCAATGAACCAAATTCAATTGAGGCACAGCAAGGCCGAAATTGTCGAGGACCTCAAAAAGGAGTGGGGCAAGATCGGGTCGTTGTGGCTCGATGAGTCTGATCCTTGGATCGAGCCGGATGGAGCCCTGCAACTCACTCATGCCCATTTCAAGCGGCATGCAGTTAAAATGCCTGATGGGTCACTGAAAATCCCCACGCGTGTGCCCCATCCAGGCAAGAAGAATATCTTGATGCAAATCCGGGAAATCAGTGGTGAGGGCACGAATTCCGGGACCCCCGCTCCCACTCCCCAGGAAGAATCCATTGATGGGGAGAAACTTGAAGTCACGTACCGGATCGGTTCTTTCAAGGATGGATTCAAATTGAGGGCCCTTGATTCTAGTGAAAATGTCTTGAATGAGGTGGCGCTCCCTCCCCCCGTGGATGGTCGCAGCTACATGATCATTGATTTTGATGGAGAGGAGTATTTCCCCCAGGAAGGTAACATGCTCAATCTCATGCTTTGTTCCAAGTACATGGCTGACAACCTGCCAAAGCCAGTGTTGCCAAAGAAGTCGGCAACTACCACAGTGGGGAATCTCGGGCACCCTCTGCCAACACTGCCGCCCAAAAAGTTGCCAACTATGGACTCCGATTCCGATGTTGAAGGCTCAGCGGCTGAGGCTGAGACTAGCCCAAAATTTGGATTAAAAACTGGGTGTATTCACTTACAAATTTCATGGATAGTGGTGAAGCAACTGTTGAAATTAATTGGGGCTGTCAAGGGGGCGGCGTGGTGCTTGCACAGTGTCATAGTGATGTAATTGCGCATACCTTGGGCCCTGTATAATATTCATAATATTATTATTATTATTCTAAAAAAAATGTTGGGACTTACAACTACAAGCTTGGGCTTGGTTCTGATGGTTTTTCATTGATTTTTGGCGGCGTTTGTGAATTGTGCGCATGAAACCGCATCATGAACTTTTTTTGCAGGGCTAAAATCTTTGGATTCATGGACATTACATGTTGCCCCCAAAATCCCAAACTTAGGACGGCTGGACATTCCCCAAAATTTACGAGATCAAGCAGGGTGAGAATAACTATGGCTTGTTCTACCAGGGCAAGGAGGTTGAGCTTGAGGCCGGTGTCAAGTTCTACATCAAGGAGGACGAACGCATGGAGTACAAGGGTGAATTCCTTGTGTACCCAGCCGATGAGAACTCCATCATCCACCCCCGGTTTGTTTCCAAGCTTCTGAAGAAGAGGGGCTCAGAGCATCCCAGCAGCATATTTGACCACCACCTGGTCCTTAGTTTGATCAACAGGTTTTGGGGATTCATTTCGTTCACAAAATACAGGTATTTAGCTAGAAACCCCATCATTGAGGTTTACCACAAATAAACAAACAGCATGGCAATAACACCCGTTTTTTGTGAGCACAGTTGAAATCAAATCACCCCTCCCTGTACTAGCTCAACAAAAATCAAAACCCATCAAAAACGGTGGCAAAAGCCAAGAAAACTTCAGCAAAACAAATGGAAACAGCATGGGGATTGCATTTCTCAGCAGTCAGCAGTGCTCAATCTGCAACTAATTTCAAGGTTTTTTGGTTTTTTTCAGGCTCGGGGTGAAAAAGAAAAAGAAGCCAAAAATAGCCATCAAAAATTGGGGAAAACAATGAACAAAACAATGCGAAAAACAATGGGAATGCTATTGAAATGCATTTGTTTGACACTTTCAAGGTGAAAAACAAGGGGACTTATTGAAAAAAAATACCAAAACCCATCAAAAACCATGGCAAAAACCAAGAAAACTTCAGCAAAACAAATGGAAAAAGGCTGGGGATTGCATTTCTCAGCAATGCTCAATCTGCAACATATTTCGGAGTTTTTCCTGACTTTTTGCAGGGTCAAGGCCGAAAAAGGTGAGAAATAAGCCAAAAAATAGCGCAAAAATCAATCAAAAATTGAGGAAAAAACAATGATATCTGGACAAAACAATGGGAAAACACACACAAAACAAATGCAAAAAGGGTGGGAATGGGATTTCTCAACAGCACTCAGCAGCACTCAGCAGCACTCAGCAGCACTCAGCAACACTCAGCAGCACTCAGCAGCACTCAGCAGCACTCAGCAGGCAGTGCTCAATCTGCAACCAATTTCAAGGTTTTCCTGACTTTTCGCAGGCCCAGGGTGAAAATAGAAAAAGAATCCAAAAAATAGCGCAAAAATCCATCAAAAAACTGGGGAAAAACATTGGGAATGCTATTGAAATGCTCTGTTTTTGACCAAAACCCATCAAAAACCATGGCAAAAACCAAGAAAACTTCAGCAAAACAAATGGAAAAAGGCTGGGGATTGCATTTCTCAGCAATGCTCATTTCGGAGTTTTTCCTGACTTTTTGCAGGGTCACGGCCGAAAAAGGTGAGAACGAAGCCAAAAAATAGCGCAAAAATCCATCAAAAATTGAGGAAAAAACAATGATATCTGGACAAAACAATGGGAAAACACACACACAAAACAAATGGAAAAAGGGTGGGAATGGGATTTCTCAGCAGCACTCAGCAGCACTCAGCAGCACTCAGCAGCACTCAGCAGCACTCAGTAGCACTCAGTAGCACTCAGTAGCACTCAGCAGCACTCAGCAGCACTCAGCAGCACTCAGCAGCACTCAGTAGCACTCAGTAGCACTCAGCAGCACTCAGCAGCACTCAGCAGTGCTCAATCTGCAACCAATTTCAAGGTTTTCCTGACTTTTTGCAGGCCCAGGGTGAAAATAGAAAAAGAATCCAAAAAATAGCGCAAAAATCCATCAAAAACTGGAGGAAAACATTGGGAATGCTATTGAAATGCTCTGTTTTTGACAGTTTCAAGTAAAAAACAAGGGGAATGATTGCAAAAAACTACCAAAACCCATCAAAAACAATGGCAAAAACCAAGAAAACTTCAGCAAAACAAATGGAAAAAGGCTGGGGATTGCATTTCTCAGCAATGCTCAATCTGCAACATATTTCGGAGTTTTTCCTGACTTTTTGCAGGGTCAGGGCCGAAAAAGGTGAGAACGAAGCCAAAAAATAGCGCAAAAATCCATCAAAAATTGAGGAAAAAACAATGATATCTGGACAAAACAATGGGAAAACACACACAAAACAAATGGAAAAAGGGCGGGAATGGGATTTCTCAACAGCACTCAGCAGCACTCAGCAGCACTCAGCAGCACTCAGTAGCACTCAGCAGCACTCAGCAGTGCTCAATCTGCAACCAATTTCAAGGTTTTCCTGACTTTTTGCAGGCCCAGGGTGAAAATAGAAAAAGAATCCAAAAAATAGCGCAAAAATCCATCAAAAACTGGGGAAAAACATTGGGAATGCTATTGAAATGCTCTGTTTTTTGACAGTTTCAAGTAAAAAACAAGGGGAATGATTGCCAAAAACTACCAAAACCCATCAAAAACCATGGCAAAAACCAAGAAAACTTCAGCAAAACAAATGGAAAAAGGCTGGGGATTGCATTTCTCAGCAATGCTCAATCTGCAACATATTTCGGAGTTTTTCCTGACTTTTTGCAGGGTCAGGGCCATTCCCAAAAAAGTTTCCTTTGATTGATGCGAAACCAAGAGTAAAATTGTTCACTGATTCCAGGGCTCTAAAATTAACTAATGAAAGGTCCACTGACTGGGGATTCGGGTGAACGGTAGTTATGACCCCAAAGCTTATTTATAATTCCACGATCTACTTTTGAATGTTTGGGCTATGCTTCCCAGTTTCACATTGGTGTTCCTCCCCATGGAGCAAAATTGAAACGAATTTGGGGCAGTGAAAAATGGATAGACTTTCAATTCAATGGGCTCACCAAAATGTCAATCGTTTTTGGTAAAATTGAAATTAATGGTTCGGTCCCCCAAAACAAATCGAGAATACTGCATTATTTACTTTCAAGGTTTCGATACAAATTACTTGAATATGGATCCTCATTCTTCCACACAAGCATTTAAAGCTCAAACGATCAATATTGATCCCCGGCACCACCCGGCGCCCCATCCTCTTAGCTCTATGGATTCCAAAAAGAATCCAAATCCGTTGGAGTGGGCTGCATTGCGCCCATTCAAATCCTGGACGCCATTGCATGGTGAACCAGGCCAGCCACCCATTGTGTGGCTTGGACTTATTTAATCCATGGTGACCTCATCATTCAAATTGAAGTTTCGACCCACCAAAGGCCCATTTTTTTGGCAAATTCCCATGAATCTAAACACCAGCAGCTGATAATTATTTCATATATGGATTCATGGTTTGGCGGGCGCCCAGTTCAGGAACGGAACCATACCCAGATTCACCCATGTATGCGGGTTTTTTCCATTGATTCATCTGATCAGGATTCATGATGACAATGACTTTGGCAGAGGTGGTCCCAATGATCTTTCTGGTGCGGGGACCTCATTGAAAACATCTTTGATCGGTTCCGGTGGTCATGCCCAGAATCTGGCCCAGCACAGCCCGGCCCCACAGACTCCTTGCAAGAGTTCTCCGGACGCCCAGTCGCCAATGCCATTGGCCGCAAACTGGAAACTGTTTGATGAACTCATGGGTGAACCAAAGACTAAGAATTGTGGTACCAGCCCACTGTCACTGGAATATTCGTGCCTAGGTCCAAATCTTGTTTTTTTTTTTAAATGGATACACCAGGGGCAAATCATATTTATATGTGCCATATATACATATATGTATATATATATATATTTGAATTTTATATTTACATACATAGGACCCCCAATCTGCCAATGTGATTTCTTACCATGTTCATCCAAGCTCGCTTGCAGGGGGTTGAAGTTCAAGACGCCATCTCCGAGCTCGAGCAAGCTGACGTCGGGGAACAAGTGACTTGGAAATGGGGGATGCAATCTTTAATCAACTAATTTAAGCCCCACAAACAGGAAAAAAGGGATTCGATGACAGGTTCATTTGATTTTCATTTACGTAATTTGTTTTTCATTAGAGCAATGCAGCCGACTTCAGAAGCTTCTGCCCAGGTGACCGCAATCATTCTGCTCAACAAAGGGCTGGACAGATCAAGACAACAGCTCTATCTGTCAATTTTGTGGAGACAGAGATTCTGAGGGGCACATGCGTGCCAGCGGGTAGGAAAAAACAGTTTTTGGTTTTCCTGGCGAAGATGCGTCTCCGCCATGAATTCTGAATGGATAATTTCCCCAAAATCAACATATCCCCATATTATGAATAATTACAAAAAAGGGAATGGGAGATTGGTATTTCGAGTAATCCCCACCCTTGGAAAATTTAATATCCCGACACAGTTTCAAACATACCGGGTATCACCTGGAATAATATTCAGACATTCTATCCGACATCTTTTTTTGGCATAAATCCTGACACTCTATTTGACATACTCTGACATTCTATCTGGCATTCGATCCGGGGGTTTTGGGTATAATAATTTTTCCCCCAAAAAAAAACATGTTGAGCTCTAGTACCACATAATACCATGAAATTGTTAGGGTCGGGGTTAGAAAGTCTGCCACCCATTGCCTAAGGTCATCTCGCTTCCCCAAGCCATCGGTCAAGCCCGGCGATGGTGCGAATGGGGGAGGAGAGCCAGTGAAGCCTACTGAGGGCCAGGGTGATGGGAAGGATGGGAAAGATGATGGGAAATCAGCAGATGGCGGGAAAGCCGCAGATGGGAAGGATGGGAAAGTTTCAGATGGGAAGACCACTGAGCAGTGTTTGCCCAAGAAGTCTCTAGGTCCTGCTCCCGCTGTGCCAGCTCCACCAAGTGCTGCTACTGCTGCTGGGGTACCCGCCCAAAGTTGAGAAATTTGGGGCAAAGGGGACAAGTGAATTTCCGCCAAGTGGTGCCCAGTGATTTAAATTTAGACTGTGAACTATTTACTTCCAACTTAACTTTGATTTTTTATCACTAGTCCAGCACTCTGTGTTTTCATGTGTTTCCGATTCAATCGCTTTTGCAGCATCAGCAGCCAGCAGCGGAGTTTTTGATTTTCAAGCCCCATTACCAAGTTGAATCAAAGACTGTGTGCACTGCCCAGTTGTCTGCGGCCCGCCACGCAAAAAGAATGACCGGTCGCAGCCATGACCCATGGAGAATCTGAAAAGAAGAATCCGATTGAAGCATTCATATTTTCAAGGTTAGTAGAAAAGACAAGGAAATCCACCACTTCACACTTTTTGTTCATTTTTCTCTACCTTAGACCTTGAACCCTGCCCGGCTTGAGGTGACTGGGCATTACAGATTGATGTCCCGGACCGCGTCTGCCTCAAGAGTGAGGCGCTTTTCATTTCCGGAACATGTGTGGTTTTTTTGAAGTGGCACACAAACTAACTACCTTATTTGAAATGCTTTGACGCCATTTGACAGGAAGCTGC